CATGCATCAACCCAACCAAGTCCGAAATTTGGCCTGCTAAAGATATGGGAAAAAATCGATGTGGATCGAAAGCGATTTCTCTCGTAGAAGAAAAATTCTTATCAAATTTTAGGTGACCAAAGAAGCAGCAAGTTTGAGAAGGTTGAATTGGCACCGTAACAGCAGCGAAATGCGAGCGATTAGAGGAAGGTGTGCGGAAGATGTCTAAGTGGGCCCAACCCGACCACTTAGCGCCACATACAAGAATTGACCACCTGGCTAAGAGAGCGAGACTTTAATGGTATAACGATTTGGAGGAAGCTTAAGGAGCCATCACCCCTGAGATAGAAATTTAGCAAAATTCGTGTCGATGAAACTTTGTGTCTAATAACCTCTTAGAGTTACCGCAAGTGATTTCGGAGCTAAATGGAAGCGCTGCGCATTTAAATTATTCTTCTCAACGCGTTTGCTCTCCAACATGGCAAATGAGTTCAGAGCTTGTAATTTTTGCTAATCTTGTGATATCCTATCAAGGATCATTTGTTAGACAAGTAAAAGCAATTGTTTGGGTACCCATGACACATCTCCAACTATATTCAAGGTGAAGATAAGTCAAAATTTAGCTAGAAACGATTAAAAAATAATTGAGAAGCAGTGCTGCTATTTTTGAAGCAAACGAAGATTTAGGAAGATGAACTTACGCGAGATTTGGATCGACGAATCGAAGTCGATCGTAGAAGTCGGTTTGCATGGCTTGCTGCTCTTTGCGCGCGGCCAAGTTGCGTAGCACTCGATTGATGGAGGAAACCTGAACCAGAGTATCGCTAATTCAACTTTATGGACTTTGGAGATGAGCTTGACACGTAAGCGTTAAGAATGCAAATACTGATAAAGTTCTAAACGAAGTTCCTCTCTCAAATGGGCCACAGTGCGTTCATTTTGGAAGATTCTGGGAATTTTCAAGCCGCTAGTTCTGTACAGTGATGAAAGACAAGGAAAACGTGAGGGATCACGTCCTTGAGGGGTATTGGGAGTCTCGACGCAACGAAGCCTGAAGATGCTTATCGCGTCCGAGTGTAAAGTTGGCGGCAGTCAAACACGCTTGTTACAACGCGATGATGTGTCTTACGGTAGAGCGAACTGTTGGAGAATTGGTATCGAAGAAAACAAAAGTAGGTACGGTAGTCGGACGAGCACAAGAACACACGTAAAAGGCGATTACTGCACATAAACACTATACCATCAAATCTCCATTAATTTAGTGGCAATCATGTAAAGAACAACAAAGAAGCAAACAGGACTCCTCTCAGTCTCAAGCGAGATTCGGCAAAAATTATACGAAGACTGAGGCTGTCCACGGGGAACAGCGTATGCTGAGCAAGTAATTCGGACATTTAAGTCTAGACGCTCGTAGACGCAACCCACATCTTGTCGAACCACCCGAAGACTTCGTTTTGTTTTTCATGGATTTCTACGCGACATCATCCAGGCGGACAGTAAGTGCATTTTACACACCGGTCCCCTAAACGACTGATGGGATGGATGCACACATACACATCACACGCCCACAGTCACGGTAATGAGAACTTGAAAGCGATAGAAGATTGGCGAGGAGGCCACCGTAAATATAAAGAAGTTTAGTGGCATATCAATTCATCTGGGTAGCTAAGTTTTGAGTAGCCCAAGTTGTCGAGATTTGAGCCAATGAGCTGAAGTGCAACTTGGAAAAAATGAAGCTTACTAATCGTAAAAACACGGCCATTTAATAAGGGCCTTTTATGTTCGAGGAAGAAACATACACTTGGTATCGTGTCCTGAGAGCAGATATGGTCGGTGAGCAGCTTATCGCGAATTTCCCAAGCAAATATGCTAGGCTGTTCTCGTTTGTACTCCTCAATCTTCTCGACAACATTGTTGGTGGCTACTCTGTAAAAAAAGACATAACTTTTACATGTTCCTACACACTTTTCTAATATCATGCCAAATTTTTTTTTATTTCAGGCCAAAAATTCAATGCAATCATCACTGCGCAGATAGTATGTAACAAATGGTCTTACTTCCCCTACCGCCTGAGCAAAACCAACATCTCAGAAACGAAAGTATCGCGTCTGGATAATCCAAGATAATGCCGTCCAGAAAAATGAGAATATTTTTTAGTCTAAAGGTATTGGAAACGCTTGTCACTGTATAACATGGGTACAGCTTTAACTCTAGTACAACCTTTCAATGCTGAAGCTCGATGGAAGAAAATAAAGGCCACAGCTTCCTCCATCCTGGTTTGGTTCTTATACATACAGTATATCAACCAGTATGTTACAAATTCGTTATCATCGTTCAAGAGCCAATTTTTACTTCTAGTGCTTACTGGCCCATGTTCAAGGAGACTGGGGCTTACATACAAATTTTACATGCCCATACTAGATCTAGTAGCGGAGCGTCGTGTTCAGTTCAACAGCGCCTATTGATTTTAGCGCGATAATGGAAGACTGTGACTTGTCTGGGGAAAGCATTATGGAAAGGGACTCTACTCTCGTTTGTTCGACTAGACGATATATCTGCTTGTAATCTTTTTGCATTTTTTGGAAGCTGTTTTCGTGAGACAGAAGCATTTTGTAGCTTTCTGTAACTTTTCTTGAGGCTATTTGTTCATAGCCCCAAGAAAAGTTACAGAAAGCTATAAAATCTCATGAACACGTCCATATTCTCACCCCTATCCATCCCGAGTATCGATGTATTAGAAAAAGCCATCCTCGCTCCTAGATTGCGAGATGTCCACGAAAGTGAAATAAGATTTTTTTCTCGAAATCAAGTCACGGCTACACATCTCGCACAACTTGAGGATTTGTGATTTTGGGCTGATTGTTCCTATATGGTTGGCAAAATGATAATGGATTTGGCAAACAGATCAGCAAGTGAAATGTATGCATTGGTCATTTCACTTATGTAGCGCATTCACATATGATTATTTCTGCCTTTACGGCTTATCACGCTAGAGAAGACATCTTCATATCCTCCTACTGATGGTCTAGATGGATTGAGTTATATGACAGGTAGCTTCAAAAGGAATTTGTCTTAACAATGCATATTCTTCAGCGGTTTCCTCCGCCGGTGAGAGCATTTTTCCATTGCCGTAAAACTCTTCATTTTTCTTGCAGCCAAAGAACTCCTATCTCAAATCTATTCTTAGATCCGCTATTTTTCTGGCAGAAAACAATGATTTGGTCACATGTGTTCTTCTATGTACTTCTCTTACAGTAGCCTTCCTATCATCTACAGGCTGTCCATGACGCGAAACGACACCCACGCTGCTGAAAACAAGTTTCTTCCAGGTCACCTGACAAAGTCGACAGAGGGATTTTCTAAGTTTGGTAACTTTTGTAGTAAAAAGATAGAGCGTTTATGAGCAGAAAAATAATTCGAAAACATGTGTTGTCAAGTATGAAGGTTTAATGAAGCTATCGATCATGGCAGGAATAGTTGGGGTTTTTCAATATGACAGGTTGTCTCGATACTTTTATTAGCTGGTGGGCCAGTCAAATTTCCAGTGGTCTTCTGAATCAGTCACAATCACCTACGACTTTTAACCAAAAGATGGCAACTGAAGATAGGGATTTTGTTTTTAGTGGCGTTTACGGCTTTTCTCATTGCTTTATATTCCTTGAGCCAAACAGTGCATTTGTAACTGAAGAAGACCATATCCTGTTTTACACTGAACTGTCCTTCGGTACGAAATTTTCTGCTTTGATCCTCTTTATGCGGGGGTTACATGATTCCTATTCCATAGTTGTTAGTATGAAGTATCTGAGTTAAATTGTCATAACTTCAAGACAAACTTCTTATCAAAAGTCAACCCTCGCAAAATTTGGCTTTCAGTGCAACTAGCATTTGACAATAGTGCCTGTTACAAATACGTGACAATCCTGCGTTTGTAGATTATTAATGAATTTGTCTCAATACCGTAACCACGAGAAAGATTAAAGGAATGAAGTGGCGTAAATCATTTTTTCCTCCGCTTGTTCAAAACTCAAGAAAACTCCTATCAAAACAACTTCATACGGATGCGGTGGCCGCTATCATGACAATTATGAGCTAATTTATAAGATTTAGCTGACGACAAGTCTTGTTCACGAACTTCTCAGCAATTCAGTTTCGATTAATGGCACTGGCACGTGGGCAAGCTTGTGTCTTGATAGGCAGAGTTTTCAATAAGGTGAGACCGTGCGAGATTCTGTAGTATTATCGAAAGAATTGCTAGAGTTCGGTTATGCTACTTTAGGCCGGGATAAAGGAAGGTAATATTTTGAGAAAAGAAGACAAAAACGCTAAAATTTTATCCGTAGTAGTCTCAAATGATCGTACTTTGATGTAGCCTATCTTTCTGCCCTCTACTCCAGCTGATAATAGCTTTATTTTAGGTAATTCTGACGCGCTTCATTTCCTCAAAGGAGGGGCTGCTCTGAGACGAAACCCCAAAACAACAGTTTTCTCTGCATGCCACCAGATCGTGTTGCATGTATCTTTGCGCAGTGATGTAAAAGGCAAATCTTTTCCGAACTAAAGTAGCGTTCAAAAAAGGTGTGACTATTTCATTGGCAGAGAAAGTGGCTCAGCCTTCTTTTATGTACTAACACAAGAAATGCATTCAAAAATAATGAGACTACTCACAGGGAAAAAGAAAAACTGCAATACTTTTTTCCAAATTGGCGCAAGGTCTTTTGCAACCTCTAATTCAAGATAAATGCAGCCTGTATTTTCTTCCGCCCAGCATAAATTAGTAGCGAGAATAAACGATGCCTAACTCACCTTGGTTTTGATCCTCCAATGGCTCGTGGGCGGATCGTACCTGATTCGTAGTATCGACACAGTATCTTCGAAACGCATCTGAAGTTGAATCACTTTCAACACAAGGTAAAATTTTTTCCTGACCATCTTAATTTGTATGAGCTTTGAGCATAGAATGAGTATGTTCAGCTTTACTAGTAAAAGGATAGGCTGCATATTGGTAAACTTTGATTACAATGGATTTGTACTTTTTCTCATCT